CCCTTACTCTCTGGCGCTCAAGAGGTAGAGGAGCCAAGTGGCTGGCTCACTGCTGCCAACTAGTGGTCAGAGGCTGAACTACAACATGAAAATGAATGACTGGCAGGAAAGTTGACATTTTAAACCTTAATAAAAAAATCAATACAGGGCTTTAGAATATCGATACAGTATCGAGAAATGAAATATCGMGATATTTCAGTGTATCGATATTTTCTTACACCCCTAGTGAGCGCTACCAGTCACCACCCAATGAGACATTGTCCTCTGTCACACCAACTGCTCAGCATCTACAGCCATAAACTCCCTCTGTGGTTTTACCCTCCACCTTCTGCTCCACAAATCCAAACCAGCTMATCTCTTTAACGTTGTCTTCAAACTGCAAATGTGAGCTTTCTTTAGCCGTTGCCAGCTAAAACACATCATTCACCTTTATCTGTTCACAGTGTGAACATCTTTATCTGTTTGCTTGGTTAAATCCAGGTGGTGACTTTTTATGACAGCTCGTGTATAATAAGACTGCAATTAAACCTAACTCACTGATTAAAGGACTTTCTGTTTAACTAAAGATTCCAGCGTCTGATCCGCTGCTGTGAACGAGCTCAGCTGTGCTCACTGTGAAAACCCACTCTCCATGCTTTGAACATTACAGTGAATGATTAGTGTGAGACTGAGGAACTTAAACTGAGGAGGAGTTTCAGCAATAGAACAAAATCTTCAAATAGAATTAGGATAAAGTAAGCAATTATTGTTAAAAAATCTGTCAAAAAAGGACTCTTTTAATTAAAAAAATGTCTTTTTAACAGAACAATAAAAATCAATTGAAGCAAAGTGTTTGCAGTTTTACTTATCTAACTATTGGCAGCTTTTGCATTAAAATGGCTATAAACATAACTTAAATGTTAATGTTTTTGATTGGCAGCACTAGAGGTTTCACCAAAAAAACAAGTGATTCATATCAGAATCATGATTTTTATTTATAAAGATTTAGAATCKATTTAAAATATCCCACTATCTATTCTAATTGACTAATACGTTTTAAAGGGATCCATTAGTTGTAACATTAGACTTTATTTGATGAACATAAATTTTAACTGTAAAATAAAGACTGTAAAAATACTGTAGGCTATTTAGTTTAGTAAATTTTTTAAAATATTTTTTAATTTGAACAGAGCCATTTTATTTACACGCAAAGAATTCTGGGTAATTGATGACATCGACGATGTTATTGTGCGAGGCTGCTAGCGAGCTATATCCACCCTGAAGGTTAATCTTGGACAATATCTGAYGATCGACTCTTTTAAATGAAACCAGAGAGCGTTGACAGAGAGGAGAAGGTAGAAATGACTCAGCCTGGAACTGAAAATATGGATGGAGGACAACAGAGCTGCTTCATGGAAGAACAACCCCAGCTCAGCCTGTTAGCTTTAGCATTAGCACTGATGCTATATTTCCTTATATGTATTAGCTCGGAGCTAGCGTGACAAACTAACAAGCTAAACTGAGGTCCTTTTGAATCAAATTGTGGCCCTAAAAATGTGAATTGAATTGAATCGTGAGATAGTAAAAGATTCCCACTCCTAGGCAGCACAGTTTGAGGCACATATCTCCGTTTTCAAACTAGGCAGATGCGCAATATTTGATTTGCTGTTCAGTTTGTGCAACAAAACATGCAGTCCTTTAGGATTTGAGTCTAATTCCTGAACATATTAATTTTATATTCTGTGTTGATTTTTTTTCTTTACAGCATAATGGACAGCCAGTAGAGTGACATACATGTAAGGTTTACAGTAAAAGACAATATCCGCTAAGTTAATAAACTTAAAGCAGGTTTTCTGTAGCCTGAGAGCAGAGTCTGACTCATGTTGAACAGCTGAAGGCTCACCCTCTGTGCCACTGAGTTCTGACATTTTCTTTATGAAATTTTATTAAAGCTTTTATTAGATTTTTCTTTTAATCATCTGGCTAACCCTTAGTTAAGTAATACTKTAAAAAAGAAAATAACTCTTAATGTCCATCACGCAGTTCTTTTCTTTCATGATGATTTTGTTCTTTGCCACCAGCAGCTGAGCCTAATGGTTCTCGATGCCAAAATGTGTCCAACTGGCTTTAGTTTGAAAAATACCACCCAGGTCCCCTGACACCAGCCAAACAAGGTGTTCAACACTAATAAAACGTATCCACAATCTGCAGCCCAACAACAGAAACTACATCTACTGCTGATGTTGTGATGTGATGTAGTATTATCAACGGTCATTGGACAATAATTATATAAATAATAGAGGTGCAAYGATACAAACTAATCAAAAATCAGTTCAGTTTGATACTTTAAGTTCAAGTTTATTCATATAGCGCCAAGTCACAACATACATTGTCTCAGGGCTCTGTACATAAAAAGAATAATCTAAAGAAGAAACCAGCAGATTGTGTTGAATCACTTCATCACAGTCTCCCATCCTGAGCAAACGGTGGAGAGGAAAAACTCCCTGCTGATCAGGAAGAAACCTCCAGCAGAACCAGGCTCAGGGCAGGCGGCCATCTTAGTCTCATAGTTTTTTTTCCATGCAAAAAAAGAGAAATTTCCATGCCCTTCTTAACTTGTGATTTATTGAAATTAATTATGATTTTTTTGTTTTTAAATTAAATGTTGCCGAGATACCAAGTTTCTCAGTGGATCTGCACTCGACAATGTAGCCTAGAGTAATCAATCACAGATCCACTGATCCTTCAACATAGAGCATCTTCAGAAAACAAGTTGACAAAATAAATGTTAAAAATCTGTATTTTTCCATACATATTGAACAAAATGCACTATTGCATGGTTTGATACAGGTACATGTGTTGTTGCACCCCTAATAATTAATTTTCATTCAGAAATATTTAGAAAATTGCTGGTTTTAATTGCTCCAGTCTTGCCACTAATG